TTTTTTTACCAAAAACTTGATAAATGTGCTCTAAAAACTTTGATTTTTATTTGAACTCTCACATACTATCTAAATTAGAAAATTAATAACGCAATGTGTGCCAAAAGAAAATGACTAGCCAGTAATCAGGGCACAGCATTTTGTAAGAAATTATGAAAACACATAAAAGAATCTATGGCAAAGAGATAATGGATTCAGCAAGACATTTTTGATAATTATGATAAATCTAAATGTAACAAGAATGAAACAAGACGATTTCAAAAGGCAGAAAATCATATGTACAATTTCCAGGTTTCAGAACATAAGCATCCGATTTCAGTTGGGGGAAAAACCCGTCCAATGATATTCTCTTCTTATATTCTTGCAATGACAAACTCTCCAAATACGCGCAACATTTGTATCTAAAACTACCATCAAGGATAAAACAAGTGTGGTACATTGGTACTCTACTTTAGCAAAAGAAACCTCAAACATTTAATCGTCTATAGACCTACATCTTGATTTGTTAAACCAATTCTCAATCTATATCCTGTATAATGCATTTTTCCTTATTGACGACAACCAAGAAATCTGTGATTACGTAATAAAAGACAAAAATCACAGTTTCCAGGTTGACAAACAATGAATTGAACTCAATGATTATGTAATACAAGCTTATAGACATATCTCTTGCACAATAGCGGCTGCAACTCCATTTCTAGCTTGCAACAAGACCTGCAGAGTGAACGAGTACTCAACTGTTAGCAGGAATATATCTATGGAGGGAGGGAGGGAGGGAGCTGACCAGTTACTAAGGTTCTATTTTTTCCCCAAAAGGTGACCGCTTGGCCTGATTCTCAAACTACGAAAGTTGCAAGAAGAGCATGCAACAAAGCCCAATAGATTATGACACCAAGTCGCAAAGCAGGTTGTCGCATTAGTGCCCGATCACATGACATCCTGGATAGAATTCATACAAAGGTAATAAATGGGTATACCATGAACATCAAATATACTTCATAGAAGTAGATTGGACCATACCACAAACCATCAACCATATTGGTTACTGGTCTCGTAAATTGTGGAACAAGTCTTGATGTAGTGAGCGACTTGAAACCATGAGCTGAAATTGAATAAATATCCATAGGAATGAAAGAAAGTGAGGCTTGATAGCTGCAAATAGTTGGAGTTACAGAGGCGTACAATGGTTTTCAATTACTATAGCTCGACAGCATATTACCTTTATCATCGTCATCCTCCTCCAACCTGTCACTACTCGGATCAATATCTATAGCCACAGCAACCTGATCACTATTAGTTTTCCGCAAACTGCGAACTTGCGATGCAATGGTAGCAGGAGTTGTCCATTTGTTTGTCTATAACAGTAGATCAGCAGCAATCAGTACCAAAATATAATATTCCCAGTAAAAATAAAGAAAAGTAACAAGAGAATAACAAAAAGCTACACACAATCCGAAACTCTTAATTTATAATCTAAGAAAATGATGCCAACTTTAAAACCAGCAAAACACACTTATGTCTAGGCACTCGAGCCAATTTGACGAATAAATTACTAAAATACTTAAATACCGTACCGCTTGTTCAACTTCCATGATATCTGACCTAGCACTTGGAGTGTGTCCAGAATCTCCAGCACCTTGAAGCATTGTTAATTGAGACTCCTTTTCATGCAATGAATTCTTAAGATGTCGTTCTTTTCGTGTCAACTCTTCAACTTTACCCCTTGCTTCTTGCAACAGCATATCACTGTTCTGGGTCACCGCACGAAGATTCTCCAATTCGGTTACAAAAGCCACAATCTGGTTTTGTAGTCTCTCTTTATATTCGCTAACCTGATCAACTTTCATACTACCAGAAGCTAGCTCATTCACCTGCACCGGAGAAATCAGTGTATCTAACCATGTCAGAAAATCATGAATTTCATCAGAGCTCCTTTTCTTGTTCATCTGGGTTGCAGATAGTGCATCATTCGTGCACCTTGTAACCTCTTGCCTAAGGAAAGATATCTCTCTATCCCGCTCTTGCAATTGTGACTGAAGCTTTTCAACTTCAGAAAGGAGACTTTCAGACAAATAATGAAGTTCATCAAACTTGCTCACTGTGACTGAAAGCTTCTTCAAAGCCTTCCCACGTGAAACTTCAAGGTTTTCTAATTGTTTGTTCTTCTGTTGCAATTCTCTTTCCAGATCGCCAATCCTGTTTGTCAGGTTCTCCATTTGAGCCTCCTCCTCATCAAGTGCTTGTATCAGTGCCTCATTTTCTGAAAGAGCATATCATTATGTAACTAAACGATTATGATAAAGTCTAAATAGACACTACATTATTACTTAAATAGAGATGCAGCTAAAAGAAGGTGCTCAGCTGACCTTGTTCTTTCGCAGCTAGCACTTCCGATAGAGATTTAACTTTCTGCTGCAAGGCCTCAGATGTGGCTTCCCGATCTTGTGATTCTTTCATTCTCTGTTCCAATTCCTGGTGCTCCACTTCCTTCACATCCACCTGTTTCTGTAAATCATGTAGCTGAGCCCTCACAGACTGTAGGTCTTCTAAATGACTCCTTGCCTTAGCATCAGCTTCCTTTATCTGATTAACAAGCTCCATACAAATTTTCTCTCTCTCGATGTCCTTCTCCTGAAGCTCTTTCTGTAAATTGAATATTGTATCCTTCATCTCCTTCTGTCTAACTTCCAGAATATCAGTTTGCATGCTTATGAAATCCTTCATAACCAATAATAATTTGTCTCGGATGGTCCTGATGCCTTCCTCAGTAAAAGCACGGGAATCACCGGTAAGATCACCCCCTCCAACAACAGACGCTAGAGACTTCAACTTTGTTTCCAGAGCTCCAGAGGACAAATCATTTCCAACCATATGGGTCTTCGTATTTTCAATTTCCAAAATCGCAATGTTGAAGGCTTCATAAATCAAGGAAACGTTTCTACGCATAGTAAATAATTCTGAACTCCTCTCTTTCTCAGTGGATTCTAACTGTTCAACACTTCTCTTCATTGCTTCAAGAGACTGTTTCTGAGAAGAAATTTCTGTACAAACGGTCCTTGCTACTTCAAATAAACGGAACGCTTCTTTGTGTAGCAAATGTTGGTGATTGTACAATCGCTCCTTGAGAGCACCAACTTCTGGCATTAAAACCTGTGGATGACAAGCAACAAAAGTAAAAACTTAGGCTCCAGTATCTTACAGAGTGAGAAGATCCTCTCCTGAATAGATGGCACATAAAAAATATCAGGATATCTCACTCCTCTGCTTCTCCATTGCCCTTTCCTATCCCTCCTCTCCACTATTTAAAAGAAGCTCATAACCTACCCATCTTCATCAGTATTTTTGTTGTTGGCAAAAAGATAAAAGAGATTAGAAGAATGTATAGATCAAGAAAGAGAATGATGGAACACGAATTAATGTGAAGAACGAGTCAAGCAAAGCCAAGGATGTCAATATACATAAAAAAAAATAACATCAAGAAATACTATTATACCTCCTTTTCTGCTTTTATTGAAATGACGCTCCCATGGGAACTAAATAGAGCACTCAAGTCAGGCTCATCACCTAGTTCCAGAAACGATTTCATACTGGCTTCTGTATTCTGCAAAACTTCCAAGTCCTGGGAGAGAACATCCCCCAATACATTGTCAATGGCAAAAAGCTCCTCCCTCAATTGATTCATGACAGATTTTATCACCGTGAATTCAGATAACTGTCTATCCTTTTCCTCAGCGTGGATAGCAGACAGCTTTTCAATGCGTGCTAGAGCTTCATGTTTGGCTGCTTCAGCTAAATCCTTTTCCTCGGAAAGATCTGAGAGCTCGCTGGAAGCTTTTTCTAGCTCCTCTTGAAGGGCATCATTTCTTTCTTGAACTTCATTCAACTCCGCCAGCAGTAGCTCAGCTGCTCTTTTAGATTTCTTTGATTCTTGTTCAGCAGAACCCAGAGCTGTATGCAGACCATGGCAGTGTCTCCCAATTTCTTTCAGTTTCTCAACTGGATCGACAATATTACGTGCAAGACCAACATCAATATCACCCAAAGTGTCTAAAATCATGCTCAAGCTACTCTGTCTCTCCTGCAAATAGCGTTCAGTTTCTGCCACACGGTCTTTAAGGAACATATTCTCAGATTCTAAACCTTGCACCCTTTCTTGGTTCACAGACAAGTCCTTGATCCTTTGGTCATACTCGAGAACAACATTTTTGTTAAGATTGATCTCAGATTTGAGGCGCTCCACCTCAGCTGTTAGCTCTTCAATCACTTGCTTCATGCCATCCCGCTGTTGAACCAAGGACTTTCCTTTTCGAACAGCAACATTTAGCTTCTCTCTGAAAGAAGCTGACTTCTGTTCCTCCTGATTAAGTAGCTCTTGTAGTTCATTCTTTTTTATTTCTAGTGCTTCAAGATCATGGACTAAGGATTGATTATTCTGCACGTATTCATCTTTCTGCTGCTTCAAAAACATCAATTCCCCCATATAATCCTCCAGTTTTTTGCTCATAATCACTACATCCTGCTCATCAGTATTTCTTGGAATGTGAGATGGCTCAACTTTTTCACTAATGTGCGCGGCAGCCGCATCACTATTACTAGGTTTCCCTGACACAAGTGTTTTATATCCTTCTATAAGCTTCATCACCAGTGCTTCGAAATACTCAGTACCATCCCGACAAAATACGACATCTTCTGTACCAGAATCCTGAAGAACATCCTTAACAAAATCCTGCAGTCTTCCTATAGTAGCCTCAACAAGACGAATATCTTCTTCAAGCCCTTGCTTCTGTTCCAGTTTCTCTTGCAATAAACTTAGTTCATTATTAAGGTTTCCATTGTTTATTTCAAAACCAGCAGCTTTCTTTGAGATTTCATCATAATCATAAGTAAGAATCTCCAAGTCCTTTGAAAGAATTTCTTTCTCTCTGCTAGCCTGCTGAAAAGCTGATATAAGCTTCGTCACCAGTGCTTCAAAATATTTGATACCATCCTGACCAAATACCACATCATCTATACCAGAATCCCGAAGAACATCCTCAACCAAACCCTGCAGTCTGCTTATAACAGCCTCAGCAAGACGAATATCTTCTTCAAACCTGAGCTTCTGTTCTAGTTTCTCTTGCAACAAACTTAGCTCATTATTAAGGGTTCCGTTGCTTACTTCAAAACCAGCAGCTTTCTCTGAGAGTTCATCATAATCATGAGCAAGAATCTCCAAATCCCTTGTAAGAATTTCTTTCTCTCTGCTAGCCTGCTCAAGAGCTGAATCTAGCTCAAACATTCTTCTTTGTGCATCCACCAGGTCCGCAGTTAGGGACTCACAAGATGTTTCAAGGTTTTCAATCTTCTGCTGGAGGGAATAACGCTGGTTCTGAGCCTCTGATAATGCACTTTCCAACCACTGAATCTTATCATCAGGTTCCATGGACCGCAACTGAGGAGGCATATCTACCCTGTCCAAAATTTCTTCCCATCGCTGCACAAGATTGTTCCGCTCCATCAATGATTGTTCAAGCATCTCATTTTGCTCAGCCAACCCATAATATTTGCTCTGCAATTCCTCAAATCTTCTTCTTACGTCATCACCGGAATTTGGATTTGGCTGCGTGTCTTCCTTCAGGCCATCCACATCACCAGATCCAGTATCAGAGTATGATCCTCCTCCCACTGAGCTTCTCGGTTCCCAATCGGGACGAGGCAAAGAGTTCCCTGTAACAGATTTTGCTAACCAATCAATCTTTTCAATGATATCCCTGTAATGGAAGTCCTCAGGCAGCTCTAGATCTTCAAGAATCTCTTCTATTCTCTGAAGAACAGAATCTTTAAGAAGAAATGATTCTCTTAATGCAGTAGCTGAGTTGCGAATGTATGAGAGCTCAGATTCCAGAGCTTCCATGCGTTCACCAGCCTCCGAATAGGCCTTAAGTTTTGTTTCAAGTTCATGAAGCCTGGTGTCTTTCGTTAGCAGCTCTTGAGAACGTTTCTCCAGCTCTTTGGATGTCTCAGCTAGGGATTGCTTGAGACTTTCACGCTGCGAAATCAGACCCTTCCCCTTTGTAACAGCTATACTTAGTTTCTCTCTAAGGGATGACACCCGCTGATCTGACTGTTCAAGTTCAGCAGCTTTCTCTTGTAGTTTGAAAGTAAGAGTAACTACATCCTCTTCGGCACTTTTCAAACTTTGCTTGAAAACAATATTTTCATTTTCATGTTGAACAATAACGAAATTCAAGTGTTCAATTTGTGCCTGCAAATCACTTAATTGAATTTCCCAAGAAGCAGTCTCCTCTCTTGACATGCTTAAACTCCCAGCAGCCTCTTTATATCTCTTTAGTAGTAAATGGATGAGAGACTCTAGACGTGAGGCAGGTTCATTTGAGGAAATTTCAATCCCCTCCAGCCTGACTGATTGTTCAATATCTTCAACTAACTTCAAAATAGCATCTGACTGAAGACATCTTTTCTCCAGTATGTCAATGTCTCTAGCTCTGTTCGTCAACTCTGCATTGAGTTCATTATGTGCAGACTGAAGCTGAATTCTCTCACCAAGAAACATGTTCAGTTGCTCCAAGAGGTTATCAAAAACACCAGGATGTAAAAGATCTAGCAAGTCACCTCTTAACCAAACAGTTTCTGTTTCGTCCTTGTACCCAGATCCTTCACCGACAAGCTTGCAGAGGTCATCATAAAGTCTGTGCAATGTATTGGTAGTCATTTCATTCTTGTGTAGCAGGGTATTACATTTCTCTTGTTTATCGTTGTAGGCGTCCCACAGTGCTTGATGATCTTTGTGCGAAGCTTCAAGTTGATCTCGCAGACCTACAATCAAATTGGTGGCAGCACTCACAGAAATGGAAACACGGCTAACAACATCCAGGCTGTTATCTATACCTGCTAATGAGATGGAGGAACCAAGTGGATCAATGGTAGCATCCAGTTCACCAACTTTTTGAAGAATCCGAGCAACATTAGAACTCCATTCTTCTTCCAGAATTGATTCCTTTTCAACTACTACTTTCTGGAGTGTTATCACTTGATTGGAGATAGAAGCAGCCATCTCATTTGAATTTTGACACATTTCATCAAATTGACTCTCTAATTCACTAATTTTGGAGTGAAAGTCACCCAGCTTTTCTCGGAGCTCATTATTCTCTGAATTTAGAGAAAGCTCTTGTTTCTGTAAGGCATCACATAAAATAACAAGCTGACCCTCTCTTGCAATAGCATGACATACATGCTCCCTTGTAGTTTCATATAGAACCATAAGCTCTAAGTTTACCTCTTCTAGATGATCACTGTGCTCCCTCAGAGAATCATAGTCACTCCTCAGCTTTGCACCAGCCCCATCAGCAAGCAATTTAGTCTCCTTCATCCCTCTACAGAATTCACTAGCATTCTCAGCATCCAGAATTAACTCCTTGAGCAGTGCTCTCAGATTCTGAGCTACCTGTTCGGCTATAATGTATAGATCTCCTGTTGTTTGGTCTTCAGAAGAAAGGGGTTCCTCTAAATCGTCATCATCACTGTGACTTTTTGACTCGAAGGCTTGAATAAGTTTTGATACTCCAGATCCAACTACTTTATCACTCGACCTACTCAAGGAAGTTGAGTGAATATGCATTCCTTCAATTGCCTTCTCAAGTTTTTGCATTACATTCCCGGCATCCTCCAAATGTCTTTTCAGTACCACAAACCCGAAAGAATCATCATATGTGTCCAATTTCAGTCCCTCCCGAGATGGTCTATCTGCATGGCATTCAGATGCAGCCTTCTCCGATATCAGAATTTCGCTATCCTCACTCCCTTTAAGTGGGGCCTGCAGACTTGATAATGATGTTTTGATTTCTGCAGACTCGTGAGGTTGGTTATCATTATCACTGAATTTTGTTTCCTTCTTTTCTTCAAGCTTGTTTCTCTCCTCTGTTACGGAAGTGAGAACCCCATTTAAGTGGGAGACGTCTGCCTGAAGAGCTGCCACCAAATCTTTGCTGTCCATCAACTCTTTTGATAGTCTCTCGTTCTCGTGCAGAATAAAATCTCTTTCCTCTTCGAGCACCTTTCTCTTTTCCGGTTCTGATAGAAGGACATCATTTAAATTCTTGTTTTCCACCTGAAAAGCTTCAACCATCCTCTTATAGTTGGACAAGTCGGCAAGCAATTTATCATTCTCATGAACAACAAATTCCTTGTCCTCCTCAAGCTTCCTCCTCTCTTCTCTCAGAGAAGCCAGATTCTCAGTTAAGTCTATAATTTCCGATCGCAGCAACTCCAAAGAAGTCTGGCACTGAGCTAACTCTCTTGTCATTTTCTCATTCTCTAGCACAATGTGCTCATTCTCCTCTTGAAGTTTCTTTTTCTCATTGGTCGTCAGATTAGAACTCTGATTTAAGTTTTCATTTTCGATCTGTAAAGTTGCTACCAAATTCCTGCAATCAAACAACTCTGAAGTCAGGCTTGACAAGTCTCCTTGAGTTGTTTCAAGTTTATTCTGCAACTCATCGATTTTGGCAGAAAGTTCTTCAACCTCGGATATTGAAAAGTGATGCTGCTTTTGGAGCTCTTCCCTCCCAGAAACAAGTTCCTGAAGTTCAGACCTACACTGTGCAAGTTCTTTTGCAAGCACTTCATTTTTCCCTTGAACTTCATTGAGTGACGTACTGGACATCGATATCTCATCAGCCAAGTGTTGATGTTCAGAGATCTGTAAGAAAAATGCATCCCTTGCAAAACTTGTCAGATATAAATGTTCTTTGATCCGCTCAAAAGCATCATAAAAAACATGCTCATGCACCTTCAAGTTGTCTGTATTTCTCAATGTTTCAGTAGATAATTCTCTTGACATGAACAAGAACCTAAATTCATCTTCATCAAGGCTTCGTAATATATCTGCTAACCGGGAGAGGCTGATCAAACTTCCATCAGATCCAGAAGATAAATCCACCTTCTTCTGTCCTAAGGACTTCTCAGCACCATTAGTATTGAACTCAAAAGATCTTTCTGCATTACTATCACCAAAATTTACTTGAGCGCCTTCAGCATAGTCACCTGACACAGAAACCATTTCTGTCTTCTCTCTGTACGATGAATCAGATAATAAATCTTCTCTCTGCAGACCAGTCACCTCAGAACTTGAAGCTGATATTACCTCTGGATCAGGTAAAGGTTGTGTGTCATCCCTCCCTTGAGCATCATCAGCATCATTGATAGCAACAACAGATGATGAAGCATCATCAGGCTCTTGTTGTGTGTCCAGCTGGGTGGCCGCGGTCACTTCGACACTCCCTGAATCAGACACCATAGGGCCCCCTGCACTCTCGTCAAACTCATTTGAAGAAAGTCTAGATTCTCCTTCAAGCTGCATCACCCTGCCAGCATCAACTTGAGTCTCACCTGAAGTGCCAACTTCCTGCACAGCCCCTAACCACAACCAGAGGAAATTTAATTATAAGTCGGTACCAAAGTGTTAAAAACATATAAAATTATGTGGGAAAAGAAGACTATCAAGAGTGAAGGAACAAACCTACATCTGTTACCTGCTCTGCCCCATGCTTCTTCTCCGGATGGGATGCAAAACCAATGGGCAAAGATATACAGGATTCTGTAGATTCCTCTTTGGGAACAACTAGATCTAATGTTCCAGACATATTAGGATCCACGTCCTCAGGATGTATAGAAGTATATCTACCTCCAAGTGGGATCGACAAATCAACATCATGATGTCCATCACCAGCACTTTTATTCCACCTGGTCTCAGCAACTCCATAATCCTTTAGTGGGAACTTGACAGTCCCTGCAGCCAACTCTGTGGTTCCAGCTATACCAGTCTTTGCTGACAGATCATCAGTGGCAGAAAGAGTATCGATTTGCTCTGAATTCGCTCTAGAATGTGACTCTGACAAAGGAATGTGATCTTCAGCATCATGCCCAGATCTTTCTCCACCTGCAACTTCTTTTGGTTTTGTCACCGCTTCATTGGGAGCATTTGCACTTGCATCATGCCCAGAATTAGAGGCTTTGCCTGATGATTTGCTAGTATTTCCTTTATTATCCTTCTTCTGTCTGAACTGTTGAAGCTGATAAAAGACAAACCGACAGGTCAAAATTGAATAACAAGTATCGGACTGTTTCCTGATGATAATAACCGCTGTAGATTGCAAAACTATTGCATAATTACATGTATTAATTATATAAAAACAGCTGCTGTCGAACACCAAATTAGGATTCTTAACATCCAAAATAACATAATTATTGACAACAACTGCTAGCATTCTTTTGGTTTTGAAAACTACAACAACAAATAAACAAAGCCTTATCCCTAGTAAATTTGGGTCGGCTACATGCATCCTCTCTCAACAGTCAATTATATTCATTGCTACTTCTTGGAAAATCCAAAACAACTAGAACCTTAGCAACAACAACATGCCATGTCAATTTCATCTATCCCTCCCTCTCCTAATATGTTCTATTGAGATCACACCACGCTTAAGAGTGGAAGCTTCTTTAGGTTTACACAAGATATGCCTCAACTATCGAAGTCATCTTTCCCTTAATTACTCAATCAGATCCATTTCTACTTGTAGGCATATATTCTCATTTTTAATCTTACTCATTCTAGTATGACCACACATTTACCGTAACATTCTCATTACAGTTATCCTATGGGCATTTTATTGTTTAACAGTCCAACCATCAGTAGAACAAAGCATAGCAAGTCTAATATTTATTCAACAGAATTTGCATTTTAACCTTGTTGAGATCTTCGTGCCATACAGAATTCTTATAGCATTTCTCAATTTCATCCAACTTGCTTTAATCCTATGCATTACATTCTCTTCAATTCCTCCTCGCTAATCGAACCTATATAATTAAAAGAACCACATTTTTGACAGCATAATTTAAAGAAAAGATAACAACTTGAGTAAAAACTTAATGCAAGCATATAGTACGCGTGCACTCATATTTCACTGATGACTGACTACAGAGCAACGCATTTCTAGTTAAATGTCGATCAGTGGTTATGGAAACATTAGTTTGGAAATAAGGAATGAAGTCAGTTCCTAAGATTAATGACCAACTAAAGAACATAAAACTTTATGATACAATGAAAGACCGCTACTATTCCCACATTGAAATACGCAGGCTCATCTTTATTTCCAGAAGTACACATCGATTTTCTTTTCTAGGAGTCGAAGAAAAAGATTAATATACACCAGCGCAATTGAGGTCTAACATTTAAAAAAAAAAATTAACTATGACCATCCATTTCTCAATAATCTTAACAATTTCTAAGAAATTCCTATACCTACTAAAAATGATTTTCATTTTTTTTTACTGGAAAAAGGAGTGGAAAATATACCCTTTTACGTCCAGCAGCAAGTAGATCGGTGCGGTTCTTATTCTTGTCCATCCAATCCAATTTACTATTCAACAGTTTCAACAGCTCTCAATCACCGTTGAATCAAAACAGATCGCCCCTAAAATTCCATAACTATTAAAATCAACGGGAATTCATAAAATGGGGAGAAGAATTTCATACATCAAGACTATGATTGGACGGTGGCGTAGAATCGAAGGTGCGTGGGGCCTCTTAGATCTAACACCGACGCAGTGTTTGGTGAAATTTTTGGTAAGGGGG